AACAAATCGTTTTTCTAATTGAGAAAAATGTTGGGTATGTACGAGATTAGCCATGTATATAATGGGTTTCAAATATAGACATTTACTTCTTGTTCGTCAGTGTCAAAATGTGAGTTATGTCACACTTCCTCCTTTGATCATAGATTTTCATTCATTTCAATAAATAAATTTAGTTTGTAAAATAAAAAATGTTTATGAATTTATGTGAATATACATTTTCAAAATATTTATTTTAATAGTTAGCAGTTAAATTTATTAAATTATCAATCTAATTTACCTCGGTCAATATAATGGGTTTTCTTTAATCTGAACATTATACATATATGTCATTGGCTTAAATATGAGACTCAATAAGTTATATCTATAAGTTATGACATCAATGTTGATTTTTCAAAGAGGAGATCACAAGTTCGAGTCACATCTCTGTTGACATTTTCTTGAATAGATATTATAATAGGTTTATAATGATTTATTTTAAAAAGTTAAATCTATGATTATATTGCATATGAAACTACTGAAACTAAACCTAAATTTGGAATATGTATGCAGCATTAAGTCAACAATAGAGCGGTACAAGAAGGCAACTTCAGATGCTTCTAATATCTGCACCCCTCAAGAGCTTAATGCCCAGGTAATCAATCAATTCATTAATCAAGGGCCAACATTAATTAATTTAATTACGTGTGCTTAGGCTAATTACCACAACCCAGCCCGTCAATAAATCCAATTCTCCTCCCGTTTATACGTATTCATTCAATCAATCAAGTTTTTCCTTGCAACCCAACACCGTCAATATATTCACTCAGCACATTGTTTTTCTAATTAAATCCTTTTCTATTATTATTATAATAATAAATTATCAATATTTCTTTTGTGAATAATTATAATTTAAAAAATCAAACATTTTGATGTAAAAATAAATAAATTTGGATGTTATTGTTTTTTGTGGTTTCAAACCTACTTTGTAAAACATAACCAAAAGATGTAAAAAAATTATCCATGAGATCTTGATTTTAACATTTGGATCTATTGAAGTAAAAAAATTAGCCTATAGATTTCAATCAGATGAAACTACATATTTTTTAACTTTATATATATATATAGGGGCGGGTTCAAATACAAAGAGGTCTTCCCATGCAAAGTGAGAATTAATCTTGTGCATTCATTTCCAGATCTAATGGCTCAAAATGAGTCAAAAGTGAGCTAAATTTGATCAAAAACGCGGTGGCAATTTCGTAATTATAATGAAGTTTTTTGCAACCGCGAAAAAGTGCAACAGAAACACGCAAAAGTGCAACACGGTGAGGAAAAAGTGCAACCGTTCACACTTTGCACGGGAGAACCTCTTTTTATTTGATCTCTTCCCTATATATATATATATATATATATATTAAAAATATATTTTTGGCACCAAAAAAATGGCCCCATACAAATTAAAAATCACACTTTTTAAAAAAATAGCATAACTTTTTTATTTTTGATCCAATGTTTTTAAAAAATATATCAAAATTCACAACTTTTTATGATCTTTCATATGACACCAAAGATATGGGGCCATTTTTTGGTGTCATATGAAAGATCATAAAAAGTTGTGAATTTTGATATATTTTTTAAAAACATTGGATCAAAAATAAAAAAGTTATGCCATTTTTTTAAAAAGTGGGATTTTTAATTTGTATGGGGCCATTTGTTTTTCCTTACTTGCGCACATCAGCGGAGAGTCAATCCTCCGCCCAAAAACCCCTCACGTCCCTTCTCCCTATTAACTATGAGACCTTAGTATACTAAAAAACGTTCGGGTTGCCGCTAATTTGAGGTGAAAAACTCATATTTGGGGTTTTCACCCCTCCATTGCACGAGGTCACTATTGAAATCTATTTCAAAATGCTCTCAATGTCACTACTGAAATACTGAAAACAATTAGATGCGGGAAATTAAGTTGCATATTTGAAGTCTTGTAGACGGTACCAAAAAGCTAGTTTAATTAACAAGTTAGGTTTATTCTCACATATATATAGTCCTCTGATTCATTATTTGAAAACATTTCTAGGACTAAAACATAGACAAAATGCATAAATTTGATCGACGTCGTTTTCTTTTTAAAATAAGACTCATTTATTCCTAATTGGAGAAGTTTAAAACTTTTAATAAGATCACATAAGTTTTATTTTGAAAGTAAAACAAAATTAGTTCTGTTTACACGTTTTGTCAAAGATTCACTATTTTTTGGCTTGAGAATATGATGAAATAAAGCAAAATGACTCACTAAACTGCCTGCGCTTCTTTGTTATGAAGAAGCAGTCAGTCCATGCAATCTTGGACGCGATTTTCATTATGGGTCATTCGGAAACAGTCTCTCTCTGCTTTAGGACAGAGGTAAGACTGCGTACATCCGATCCCCTTACCCCATCGTAGGTGGGAGCCTTTGCGTCACTAGGGTAAATGATGATGATGACACATTTTGTCAAAGCTTTAATTCTATTTAGAACAATTTCTTTTGAAAATTTTTAGACCAAATGGAAAAAGTAAAAGACATGAGTTAAATGTGAAATTGACATAAAATTGTAATCATACAACACTAGTCACACTTGGTGAAGATATTGATGAGTGGATGACGTAGCATGCATCTATAGGAAGCTTTTGTGTTATGTGTCACGTTATTTGAAGATGACAACTCGGGTACCCATTTAAAAAATGAGGTATTGTACTTACCACTCACTTGATTGGTTCAAATCATTACATCATTTTTAATTTAGATTTAAATAATTTAACTACATCATTTTGATTGGTCCATGTGAACAAAGGTATGATACCTTAAGGGAACCATAAAATCCACAAATTTGAATTGACCACAATGCTTATCACTTACGTGTTATGTTATGTTAAATCCAAACTTTCAATTGAGCTAATTTAGTCATTTGACATAATATTTGTTTGTTTGTTTGTTGCATGGATTTGGGATATATAGTTCTATCAGCAAGAATCAAAGAAGTTGCGTCAGCAGATACATATGCTTCAGAATTCCAATAGGTGATGATCAAACTGCCTCTTCATCATTGTCTACCTACACTACTGTCTAAGTACCTATTACCTATACATGCATGCATGCACTAATTAATTACAAATATTATGCAGTAATATAATAAAGCACACACAGCTTTAATTTTTACTGCAGTAATTAATTATTTACATGTTGATATATGCTCCAAATGTAACTACCCACATATTATTAGTGTAGGCATCTAGTGGGTGAAGGGCTGAGCTCTTTGAATGTGAGGGAGTTGAAGCAGCTGGAGAGTAGGCTTGAAAGAGGAATCACAAAAATTAGGTCCAAAAAGGCATGTCAATTCCATTATTTTGTGCTTTTTCCTCATTTCAGCGCTGTTTTTTGTCAAATTCAATTTATTTTGGTCTTATTTTTGTCCAATCAAAACTTAATGCTGATAGTACTCTCTCCGTTCCTATTATATCTTCCATTTCACTTTGGCACACAATTTAAGAAAATTGGGTATTGTGTGGTGGAGAGTTGTGCAGATGAGAGAAATGTGTAAAAAATGTTGTGAACCACAAATTATTTACCAAAAAAAGGAAAGTGAAAGTTTAATTGGAACGGATTAAAAAAGGAAAGTTGGAAGATATAATAGGAACGGAGAGAGTATTATTTATGTCATTATTCCAAATAATAAATAACTAAATTAACTTCTTAACAAATATAAATTTATAAAGATGAAACTTTTGTTTTCCCTTTGAAATGAAATGCTTATTTAATCTAATGCTTTGTGGTATTATTATTTCTTGAACAGCACGATCTGATTCTTGCTGAAACTGAGAATTTGCAAAAGAGGGTAATTCCTACTACTACCACTACATGTTCTTTTTACCCTCATCAGCATGCATTAAATTCTTTAAAACGATGAAATAAAACAAATTGCACTCAAATGTGTTGAATCTTGAATGTGTTCAACCTACTGTTCCAACAGGAGGTGCATCTTGAACAGGAAAATGCCTTTCTTCGAGCCAAGGTAGTGCTTAATAGTCCATTCTTCTTATCTATTCGTCCAGTAAAAAAGAATTAATTAATATGACAAAAAGAGTTGCTTTATTGTTTTGGCATAGGAAAAAAGTATCATATTGGCCCAAATAAGGCCAATACTAATACAATATTATGTGCAATGCTTATGTGTGTGTATCATGTTTGGGTTTCATTGTTTCAATAAAGTTGTATGTGTGCAATGCATTATTACAATAGTATCAAAATTGGCCCTTTAATTTATTATGTCATGTATTGGAGACATGCATACAGATAACAGAGAATGAGAGGCTTCAGGAGCTGAGCATGATGCCAACAGGGGGGCAAGACTACCAAGCCATCCAGCACTACCTTGCTCGCAACATGATGCAGATCAATGTGATGGATGATGGCGTCCCACCTTCTTACCCTGTACCCTCAGACAAGAAAAACCTTCACCTTGACTAGCCAGCTTAGCCGGCAGCGCTAGGAGCGAGCGCTAGGAGCGAGCGGACACGTTTGGTTGATGATTTCATTTTCTACATGCATTGCATCTGATAATTAACTCATAAGCTAAGCTAGTTGTACACTTGTACTTCTAGCTAGTTTATTGCTGATGCCGCATGCTCTACCGAACATTCAAATTAGACTTTATTAATTACTCCTTTGTTTGATTGTGTACGACTGTGTACCAAGAAACCATATATGCCGCATCCAAAGCTAAACAACTTTAATTTTCTTACTTATTAATCTGCTTATCATGATCTCCCATCATGGGCATATACGCACATATCTTCTGCCAAAAATTTGGATCCCAGACAGAGCATATGAGGATGTAAATCATGATAATTCGGCTAAACATAGAGATTAGATCAGTGATCATTGTACATAAGAAGCCCCACACTTTGAGAGGGTGCTCCTACACTACCGCTGACGCATGGTATTACTCAATCCCGACTCACTTGTATACCAAAGTAACCAAACTTAACCCCTTTGACCAATCGAGAGGTTGTTGTGACACTATCGCAACCAAATAAACATGATTTGAGAAAGTCAAACTGCACTGAATTTATGGCAGCCATCAAATTTATGACCCAATTATTTTATCCGAAGTGTTTGGAAAAACGAGGTAAGAGACAGCATAAGCCAAAAAGTAATGGATACTTTTCTACTAATAATAGAGATAGATAGATAGATAGATATTAACACCCACAAGATATTCACAGAATATAGCAACCTCTTTCTCTGGCTTCCTTCCGGAGCTTCTCAGTCTCCTCCTGTGCTTTTTCCAAACTCTCCCTCAGTTTACTGATCTCATATCTAGATAGCTCTTGGGCTTCTCTTGCACTCTTCTCAGCCTCCAAGCGAGCAGCTTGCTCTTTAGCCAATTGCTCTTCCAGCCTGAGAGTCGTCTCCTTTAGCTTCATCTCCACCTGTCATGGTAGACACATAAGACACAATTGCACTAGGCACACGCCACACACAGAAACATATAATATCATTCATGTGTGGGTGTGTGAGGGCTGCTCAGGTCCAAACATTTTCCTGGCCGGCCAACTTTGATTAAGAACACAAGTTTGAAAACTTGAAATAAAATAAATGCACATCAAGATCTGACTGCCCATATACATACACACCCAGCCCATCAAGATCTGACAGCCCATCACCAACAACCAATCTTATATACATACATGCATAATATAAGATTTCCAGGAATGGAGGTGGTGGTGACATTTAGAACCTATAAAAACGCCAACTACTAGATCTATGTTACATAGCAACGATCTCTAGCTCAACTTTAACCGTTAGTATTTAGTGCAGTATATATAGGCTTTTTAAGAGTATAAGATGATATTTAAGGGAGTAGATGTTAAAATTGTTTCAAAAGAAAAGAGTTAATTAGTAACCTTTAGCTAGGCATTCTTTGGCTTATCAACTAGATTTTTTACCAAACACTAATGTATTCCTCCATGTTGCCTGAATCAACGTACACTAAACAAAAGTAAAGCAGAAGTTCTTTTTTTCACTGTTGAAGAGTAAAGAGACTTAAATTCATGAAAATGACATTTTGAACCTTCATTTTTAAGGTCCAAATGACTCTCCCGGTCCCACTAAATATTTCCAACTCCCCTTATCCAGCTGTCTCTAACACTTCGCAACTTTCCTTATAAAGAAACTAAGTTGTGGTTAGTTTTAGTTATCTCTTATTCACAAACCTCAACCATAGAGTTTTTACTTTCTATAACCATGTTGAGGTCAAAGTTGGCCAAGTTTAAGGGACGGGAGTATAATTTAAATAAATAGTTAGATAATTTAGCAAATTCAACCACTTCAACAATTTAATGATTTACCCAAGCTCTATAGTAGTACAAGTTGACAAGCCTTAAAATCACAATCAAGTCAGATTTCATTTTCAATAAACTGTACCTCCATTTGGCCTTAAATAGTGCTAAACTGCTAATTTGGCAATACCAAAAAGAGAAAGAGTATGCAGCCTGTTTTTCATTGACGTACCATTTCAGTGATCTGCCTAAGTTGCTCAGCATATGCTTTTTTCATTTGATCGTTCAACTCAGATATCTCTTGTTTGGAGTATCGCGATGAATTAAATTCTGCAGTTTGATTCCGGATTTGAAGAGCACCTTTCTGTTGAACAGCAAAATTACCATCTTAACCGGCCAAATGAAACAACAATGGAAATAGCATACCAAACAATGATCCAAAGAAGTACATACCTTCAGTGCAGAAAATATCTCATCAGTGTATGGTTTCCCACAGTTCCGATCTACCACAGAGTTCACAAGGGAAAGAAGTTCTCTCAACTGCGAATCCTTCTTAGTTTTATCTTTCGTCTTATTATCAAAAAGCACTTTCCTGTTCCCACACATCTCAAGAACATTCTGCAATGGGACAAAATCAAACGAACATGAAATCCTAAGATACAGTCCATTTATTCCCATTTATGAATCTCCATTGCCCACAAAGCACACAGTTTAAGAAAATTCATTACATGGTTAGAGTCATACATTAATCAAAGCTTTTTATATTTTACCAAAAAAAACATAACTTAATATGGAGTAATTACTTACTACTCACTTGACAAGATTACCATAAGAGGGTTAGTTTTGAAAAATAATATGTAAAGTGCTTTGAACTAATAAAAGGATAATAAAAAGAAACAACCAACTTTAGTCAACGAAAGAAGATACTCCCTTGTGCCTAAACTAATCAATAACGTGACAAGGCAAGGTGACTAAGAATGTGAAAATTGGGTAGTTGAAATGTATGCAGATGAAAGAGCTATAACATGAACCACAAAATGTTTTCTTTTAAAGGAAATGGGGGGAATTATGGGACTGGCCAAAAAGGGAAGCGTGTGGATAGTTTCGGGAAAGGGGAGTAAAATAAGAATGGATGGAGTAAGACAAATAAAACTTTTGTTCTTCACTTTTCATTTAAAAAAAAAAAACTAACATTCGCAAGGTAAGAATATGATATTTTTGTAATATCCTACAGTATGTACATCAATGACAACATGCACATTTAGGATAATCACAAAAAATGTCACCTTATGAATTTTAGTCATTGATTAACAGAAAAGAAAGGTGGCAGTTACAACTTCTCATGATAAGGTGTGCAGTGTGCTTATGATATACTCCGTATGTGTGTGTAAAACAGACAAAACAACCAGCACGGGAATGCTGCAAGATTGGGTTTAGAAGTATTCGCAAATTATACCTTCAAAGGCTCAGGGCAGTTACGGCCTAAATAATCATCCAAAGTTTCATCAGATTCTTCAAGATCATCCCCGCCGGTGAAAACTACAATCATGTAGTCAGTCAATTCGCTTCCGAAAAATCTACACAAGCTCTCAACAGCTGATTCTTCTTCTCTTGAAAACCGGGTTCTAACTGAGAAAACTACAAGAACAGCATGAATACCATCCTTGGCCATATTAATGCATTTAACAATTTCCTTTCCAATTGATTCATTGTCACCGGAATAGTCAAACAACCCTACAACAATTAATAACCACTGTAATTTAGATAAAACCATTCCAGATGCAACAGTAAATTATACTCCAAGATTAATTAATATGAGCATGATATACCAGGAGTGTCAATAACATTAATAATCTGTCCATCCCTCAAAATGGTCTGCTCGAGCTGGCAAGTGCTTGTGACACCAGACGAGCTAGACATTGACTTGAATTTTCTCTCCCTGATAATGCTATTACCAGTCGCACTTTTACCATTTCCAGTTCGTCCAAGTAAGACTAAAGTTCGAATATCATCAGAACTCGAAGATGTGAACTCCCAATCATCATAATCGGTACTTCCTCCCATCCTCTTATGGGGCTTGACTAAGAACAATGAATCAGTTTTATTCATTCAGCAACAAAGAACAAAAGGAATAATAGCTAATATCACCTTAGTAATGACTTAATACACTAGCAGAGAAGTAAATAGTACAGTCTTAAAACAGCATCATCATCAATCATCAACAGCAACAAACGAAACACACATATAAACAAGCCTTAATGCCGATTTTATTAAGATTTGTAGGCTACGTAAAACTGGATTAACGGTAGATGATCCATTTCTATCAGTGACAAAAGCATCGCAAGCACTTAAGAGACTATAAACAAACGATACTGAAATCGATAACTTGTTTATGCTTATTTAACGTAAATTTATGTGCACCTAATAGAAAAACACCTTCTGGACAGAACACTTCCAGCTAAACCTTCTGTGTATCATAGACTGGAAACAAGAAATCAAATTTCACAGAGAAAATACGACCATGTGTCGCAATAAAAATGGAATAAGAATAGATTAGAGGATTTGCGAACCTTGAGCAGAGATTTAAGCTCGCTGTAGAGAGAAAGGGATAACTTCGTTTTGAAGAAACAAAGAATTGAGAACCCAGGAAAACTTTAGACTTGGAGGTCACAAAGGTGACGAGAGATATACCCTTACAAGGAAACAGAAGCCCATCTTCGAAGGGTAGAATCGGCATATCACCGCCGACGTTCCCGATACCGACTCGTAACACTGATACCCAGTACGTTAGAGGAAGTATTATCCACTCTTATCTAGTCAGTTTAAATTTGATCTGGTATGATATAGTCTGTTTAAGTTTAATTTGGTCTGGACTTATCTGTTTAAATTTGGTCTGATCCGGTAAACGTCTGGTTTCTGTGTATTTTATAATTAAGGAAGTCAAATTCGATTGGATCTGATTTGTTTAAATCTGATCTGATCAGGTCTGTTTAAGTATGATCTTAACTGGAATCGAAAATTAAACTGTCCGCAAAAACTGATCAGATCTGATCATTAGTTTTGTTCATGGAAATTTTCGTAAATATCATTTAAACTTTGGCAATAATGAACACCAGAATTTTAAAGCACATAACGCAAAACATTTTTAAAAAATTGTCTTGAAAGTGAATGGAAATTCAAATATTGGAGTGTTGTGCGAAAGTAACGTATAAAAATGAAGCACTTTAATTTAGACTAGTTACTCCATTCGTGCATTGCATGGGCATGAAGTGCGTATAAAAAAATTAAATAGATTATACAAATTAAAGTAAAAAGAAAACTTGGTAGTGAATCAATTAACTGAATAAATCAAATAAAAGAAGAAGTTGTAGTTAATTTGAAATTAAAAAATAATGTTTAAAGTTAAATATAATATCATCGATGAAATAGGTTTGTGAACTTTGTGTATGTACACGAAACCGTGAAGGGAAACTACTAATTTTTATAAGTTTCTTTATATAAAATGTTCAACACAAATTTGATTGGTTTTCATTCTTCGTCACATACCACAAACTTCATCATCATGAGTTTTGATAATATGAACTCTAAGTTTAGACATCATAAGGTGTGTGTCGTTGCACATTCAAGATGAATGATTTGTATTCCTCATAAGCATCACGTGAACCTCCACTTCCGGGGCCATACCTTGTCACTCACCAAACCTCAAGATGAAATGCTATTAAGAAATTTAGGATATGTATCTCATGTAAGAGATCACTATTTGAGCTAGATCAAGAAGATGAATCTAAGTTTATGTAAGTCATTAACTCTGAATCTATTTGATTTAGCGTGTAATAACTGACCTCATCAACTTGATCGACAATCACAAAATAATAACCCAACAGAAAAGATAAGCAAAAATGTAGATAAGCAAATTGTCAACAAAAATTAACATCATACTTTATATAAAATGTTCAAGAGCGTGTAAAAGGGAACATTCTATTAATAAGGGAACATTCTATTAATGTGCTCTACGGTCTACACATAAAGGAAAATCTGATAAGAAAATTTGAGAATTATTAGTGAAAATATTTAAGGCGCATGAATTTTACAATTAATTAATTAATCACATAAAATTTATAACTACGGAAGTCAAGTTCGATCTTATCTGATCTATTTAAGTCTGATCTGATCAAGTCTGTTTAAGTATGATCTGAAACTGAAAACTGTCTAGCAAAAACATCATTATTTACCAAGTAGTTTTGTTCATGGAAATTTTCGTAAATAACATTTGAACTTTGGCTATAATGAACACCAGAATTTTTAAAGCGCATAACGCAAAACATTCAAAAAAAATGCCTTGAAAGTGAATGGAATTTCAAATATAGGAGTGCTGTGTGAAAGTAACGTATAAAAATGAAGTACTTTAATTTAGATCTCTAATAAAGCGTTTTTACTCGAGAATTTTCCCTTTAAAAAAGGAAATTATTACTCCGTAATATTTAAGGGACCCATTCACTATTTATACAAAAATATTCCCTTCTCATATTTCTACAAACTTAATTACATGTGTTTTTATTATATGTACCACAAAATACGCAAATTATACCGTGGGATCGGCCCACCTTCCGCATGGTGTGCCGATCCCACTTTTAGCAAGTTACGTTGCTTTCTTTTCTCCCTGGAGCTTCTTCCTTCCCTTTTTTTCCTATTCTTATTTTATTTTTATTTTTTTCAATTCTTCTCCATTTCCATCAAATTAAAATGTTAAAAATTTAATTGCAGTTTTAATTTTTCTTATCTTCAATTTAAATTATAATTGAATCTATTTTTTTATTCTTTATCAATACATAACAAAAAGTTTAATAATCTAAATAAGATAAGTACATTGCATTTCATATTTATACACTATTTTTTGTAATCTCTTTTTATATTCATATATTTTTTGTAATATATTTTTACATGCATACACTCAATATTTTTTATTGAGTTTGTTTATTTTGATTCTAGCTTGGGTTACATTTGATAATATACGAAGTTACATCATCTTATACTCGAGTTACATGTTATTATGCGTGAGTTGCATCTTGTTATGCGTTAGTTACATCTTCTTATGCGCAAGTTACATACTTTTATGCGCGAGTTACATCTAATTATTTGTGATATTTTATTTATCTTTATCTTGAACTAATTAAATTCTAACTGAATTAATTTTTTTCTTTACCAATTTAATACAAAATTTTATTTATTCGCATAAAATAAGTATATTGTATGTCATATTCATACACTATTTCTTACTTTGTATACTTTTTTAATATTTATTATACACTTTTTTTGTAAAATATTTTTTATATTCATGTACATTTTTCTATAATATATTTCTTATCTCTTTTATATGTTTTATAGACATTAAGGCTGTTTATTTCGATTTAAATTTGAAAAAACATGAGAATAATACATTTTTCGTATGTGTGAGTTATATTTATAGACAATTTCTATGATTAAATTTGATATTTTATAGAGTTACATCTTCTTATGCACGATTTACATCTTCTTGTGTGTGAGTTACATCTTTTTATACGCGAGTTACATTTGAGTTTTCCTTAACAAGATACATTTTGCATACACTAAAGTTAGATTTTCAATCAACGCGAGTTACATTTTCTGTAAGACGAATTACATCACAACATAAAGCCTACTATTAAAACAAAAGAATCATTGTTATGCAAAAAAAATAAATGTTTCCAAAAAAATATGTGCTTTGGCAAAAATATATTTTAAAAATAATTTTATGGACTTGATATTAAAAAAAGTATATATTCATCATTTATGTTAACCCTTGCTATTAAATAAAAAAAACATTTTTTTACAAAATGACTTTTTGGCCAAAAAATGATATTTGGCAAAAAAAAAGATAAAAAAATATTTTTATGTCCTTAATATTAAAAACAAAACATATAAACTATTTAAATAAAGTAATTGAGCAATTAGACTCCTTGTTTTCATTAAAATCAATGTTTTATTTCTTATAATTCGTATTAAACAAGTTACATTTCAACTTGCTTGTTGTTACATTTCTTATTAGTGTGAGTTACATTTTGTTACACGCGAGTTACACCTATTCCGCTATTGGGACAATGAAAAAACAAAAATGAAGTTACTGTTCACGCGCGTGAACAGTAACACGCTTTTTTTCCTGTTGGAGCACCATGCTCACCGTGGGCTGCTCCCACGATATACGAACTGCACAAAATAAGAAAATTGGCATACGTAGACCCCAAAAAGGATGATACTATCCATGTGGGTCCTGAGAATCGTTAGTTTCTTTTTTTAAAAATAATATTAAAAATAAATAATAATTTAAGTTTTTAACGGCGTGCTATTGACGGTATATGCAAATTATATGATACACCCGAATATATAAGAGACATGATAGTTGGTAGAATCAGTAATTTTGTAATTATTAGAATTCCAAAGAGAAATACGTACTAGTTAAGTTTATGATTCCTCCTTTCTTCTTGCTTTTAGCTGTATATTGGTCATAAAGTCAAAATTAGAATTCTTTGAATAAAAATATTCTTGGTTCTTAAATTGAAAAGCACGTCTTATAAGAAACTTTTAGTATAAAGCATCCTAATTTTTTTATCATAAAAGAGCGGTCATTATATTAAAATCGAGAAGACATACAAGACAACCTTCAGACAAAATTTATAAATGCAGTTGTGAACCCTAGGACTATACCTGAAACGATCAAATTTATGCCTATAACGACCGGAACCGAAACTCTCCCTATCAAAAAAACTCCAAAAATCCAAACATTAACACCAAATCGACTCGGACTAAAACAAAAACAAGTGCTACTAAAGAGAAACTAATACTGGAATAAAATCTTTCCACAAAGTTCTTCCTGGTATGGAGGTGATTCCGGATGAGGACGAGCTCTTGCAATATGAGTGAATACTAACTCCACCACCGTCAGAATGACCGACCAAGCTTTACAATCCAACCTCGATACAACCTTTCAGCCGCACTTCGTTCATCCGCCAACGCTATCTCCTCCGATGAAGTTATAATCTCAAGCATTAAAACACTTACAAATTACAATCAAAATAATTTGTCACTACAATTCCATATTGATAGAGGCGGCAGAAAAATCTAAGCCTTACAAAGAGGGGAGACCATCGCTAGATTCCTCTCAAGTCTCAAAGCATCCTAATTAAAACCCCACTTATTAATAGTTTTGGAAAGAAAAGGTGCATGTCCTTGCTCATAGGCTTATAGCTTAGGTGCTCATGGATATCTAATGTTGGACTCGGGCCGGGCCAACCGGCCCGGAACCGGACCGGCCCGCTACTGTGCGGGCCCAGCCCGGCCCGGTGAACCAGTTCCGGACCCGGGCCGGGCCATTTTTTTTTTTGAATTTTTTTTAAGTTTTTGGGTTGGGTTGGGTATTTTGGGCCATTTGAGGTGGTTAGGGTTGGTTTGGGGGTGAGGGGGAGGGTTGGGGGTTAACTAGGAAAAGCCAAAAAAAAAGAATAGAACCGAGGCCCGGACCCGGGGGTTACCCGGGCCGGTTCCGGGCCTCCCCTTCTTGAACCGAGGCCCGGCCAGGCCCAGGCCCGAACCGGTCCATGCCTATGGATATCTTTACCGCACGTCTATAGAGAGCTGATTTTAGGTCTCCCAGCATCACACAGAAACAACTCTTATTTCGCCATCTTCGAAGGACCAGGTGTGGGGAGTAGGGACGGCTGAAGTGCAATTTCGCTATTGTTGTGACAATCAGAAATGTTACTGTGAACACTTATTAAT